TCTGTGGCTACAACTGGGCTAGAATTCTTGTACCACTGCGATGTGTGCACCGTCGCAGTTTTAGGGGCAAACCCCGTTTGTCCTGATTAACCAGGGTCTTTGGTACCACTATAAAGGGTGAGTGGGGGTCGTGTGGCGAAGCGGCAGAGTGCTCTACTCGGAACCAAGAGGTCCCGGGTTCGAGTCCCGACATGCTACCGATCTTGTGCCCTTGGGGAAAGCACTTTACACGACTTTCCCCGTGTAAATAAGTGAGAATGAATATTGTATTGTCCCCTGTGTTGGTGGCGGCATTAATATAAGCTGAAAAAAACTTGGGTACGTCGTCACCTCGTCTTGTGATTACATGTTGGAATATATATACACAAAAAGTGGGGTATCACACTGTGGTATTAGCTAATGGGGTCCAGTTGAACAGCAAAAAATGAATAAATAAATAAACTGTCCAAAAAGGCTAATGTTTGGAAGGCCGTACAGGTTGCTGGCATTTTGTAATGCACGAAATATATACAAAATTGGACTCTGCAACTCCTGTAGATATGAAAAAGTGTAAACATTATGTAGGTCAAAGGTCTTTTTGTTCAGTATAGGCAGTTGTTTACACCGATGCATCGTAACCCGGCATATGCCGTATTTTAGAGAATAACGCGTCCTACGGTGACTTGCGGTTCGACTGGGTGCCAGCACCGAGGGGTCAGAGCATAGCCTCCTTTGCAGGCGTTCTGGGAGCCACGAATCAATCAATCCATCAATAAATCTTTATTCAAACAACTGGCAGACGAGAGTCTGAATTGAGTTGTTATTATAGACAAGATCATAAAATCATACTTTAAACTATACTAATAATAATTTACACGATTTAAATTACACAATTTACATTTCTTTGCAACTTGCACGATTTTCTGACCAAACGTGGCTCGCACGCATTAGAAGCTCCGGCCGTCGACCCTATAGAATGTCATACCTGGAACATTCTAGTGTTCGGGGCCGGAGCTTCTACATGCGTGCGATCTACGTTTGATCAGAAAATCGTGCAAGTTGCAAAGAGGCGCCCCCTCCCCCCGGACCGCTCCCCGAACGCCTGAAACGGAGGCTAGCCCGGCCCCAATAATTGTGTCTCAGTATGTAGTGGTTGAATACATGGCTAAGATAATTATGTGAAAAAAAACCAACTTTTCATTGATTGACAAGATTTGTCACATATAACTTCACCAGAAAACAAAAATGATGTCCTTAAGTACATAAGGGTACCTGGTACGTACAAATGTACTAGGTAGATCTCGTAAGTCTTAACATTTTCTCTGTTTTATTTTTGGCACACAGCTAATTAAGTATGTATGTATGTCAGGGACTCTAGTACAGGGCTCTTTATACGTCTTTACATTGTCTTTTTAAAGTAATCTACTGACCTTTTGCACACTGGCATCCACATATTAGTGGCAATATGAACTGAATCAATCTCTTACTGAGCAGTCTACATATTCTGTGTTTTGTTTGTTTTTTCTTTCATTTTCTTCGGCGTGAAAACTGTCCATCCACACCTGGGGTCTACATTTGTTATTTGTTCCTCGAGCTCCTACTTCGCTCCTGACCCACTTTTCGATATGTTGTGACCAACAGGGTTTCTTGGATGGCGACGATGGTGATAATAACAGAGCGCCTTTTGTCACCTTTGCATCCCCTCCAGACATTGCTTGACTGGACAGGGTTTCTTGGATGGCGGTGATGGCTATAATGATAGGGCGTATTTTGTGACCTTCAGCATGCCCTCCAGACTTTTCTTCCTACCAGATTTACCGCATTCCGTCTCGGACAAACTGCGACGCGAGTTGTGCTGCCTATCTGACATCTGACGCAAGTCTCGCCAGAGAGCACCAGCTAGGTACGAAGTGGAGGTGAGCAACTAATTTTTGTGTCCTTTATTCTCTAAACGTTATCATCTTTCTCTGTCGCTTTTCCGTAACCAGTAACTTTACAAACTATACTAAATTTACCTGTACTGCATCCTTTATAGCTCCAAAAATGGTCTATGCCGACGCCAGTTACTTACATGGTCCTCTGTCGTTCCCCTACATGTTTTTTGCCAGTTTTAGATATCGAGAACGCCACACTCTGAGATCTTGCTGGATAATCTCATTATTAGTCATTTAGCCATCCAGCCTTTTGGAGGAAACACTTGTAACATTGGGGTTCAAGCACTGCTAACTGATCCATTCCTATGGGTACGGACTTTTTAAATGTGTAGTCGTTACCACGTTTAGCCTTCACCGGGCCTTTCTACGGGAATGCGGATCGTAGAATTCGGCAAAAAAACGAGAGTAAAATTGGCCAAGGACCGGGAGTCCGGCCGCGGGGAAGTTGTTTCTTTCCCTCCGCGCGGCCAATCAAACCTACAAGGCGGCCAAACTCCCCCGGCAAATTCCCCCATATATAATATAGCCAGCGTAGTTAGTCTGGTAGAGACTATGTTAAAAGCACGCTGGTGTCGTGAGGTGGCTGCCCGGGTTCGGCGTCTCCTTTTTAACGCTATGGATATATTGTCTATTAAATGATAAATAGGGAAAACACAGTAAATCTGACGTTTTTCCCATATTTTACGGCGCGCCTTGCGCCCCGCTGAACAGGGTCATCTCGTTTGTTCATGTCGAGTCGCCGGAACGTATCGTGTGGTAAATATGTAGTCAAAACTAGAAAGGCCGACATTTGCTTTGGAGCAAATACAGCAATGGCTTCACCACATTTTACGACATGGCAGGGAAAGAATGAGAAACACAAGGGAAAACAATGCTTTACATTGATATAACTATAGTATGAAGTAACATACAACTAAGACTACAACAGTTGGATAGCTATTCCCTACATTATTGGTTAGGATTTTTAATTGCATAATGCAAACTGTTGATTTTCAAGAAAAAAAGAAGTGTTCATGCCCCGCATTCCAATGCTGGAGCAGGAAAGCTTGAAATACCTACCAAAACACTTGAATACAGACATACTGTCAGTATGGAATGGATCTGAGCAGGTATTAATTAAGTTAAGCCTGTTAAATTCCAACAGCCAATCAGCAAGGAGAATAGAGGAAAGCTGCATGCCTATTGGTTGATGCCCTGCATTCCATTGTCATGACTTATGCCCAAATGTGGTAACACTGCACACTAACTCAGTAATACATTTGCTATAACACAGCCAAAAAACTCAAATAAAACCATTCTAAAAGCCTGTATCACAAAAATTTAAAAAACGCCTAGGGGTATTTGCCCACTGTACCTCCATACCAAATTTCAGGACCTTAGGCCCTAAAATGAAGAAGCTGAATCCATTTAAAAAATGGCAGGAGGAGAAGGAGGAGAAGAAGAAACATCAGAAAAAGCAATATGGTTTCACCACACCACTTCGTGGTGTAGTGAAGCCATAATAAGGAAAGTAAAAAAAGCTTGTGCAGTACTAGCCTGGGTACCAAACCTTAGGTCGGCTTGGCGGTAATTTTCGGCCCCGGCCTTTACCAAGCACAGGCGAGTTATGCCACGAACCTATCTCCAGCTTGTTTCCGTATCCCCTAACTTCCTGTTTTACGCTGTCTTCTTTTGCCGCCGACCCAAGTGAGCGAAGAAACCTATACCCCCCCCCCCGACC